GGGGGGGGGGGGATCTCCGGCAGCCGGGCGATCTCTCTGTTGCCTGGCATGCTGGGGCGCCCAACGATCCGGCCGGCGCCGTCCGTCGTCCTGGCGGCCGCCGGGGGGGGGCCTTTGCTCCGGGCTTTGGCCAGCTGCGGCGGGCACCGCACGCCCCCCGCGCCCGAGCGCGGCCTGCTTCAATATGACGCCATGAGATATATTATCTCGCACCCGGATGGGAGATGGTCCTGCGCCCCCGGGGGTGTGCGAGGGCACCCGCGTCCCCGGGCGCTTTTCCCGGAAGACCGATATCTCCCTCGCGCTGCGGCGGTCGCGTGGGCCGGCTGTGCCCCGCAGAGCGTGCGTGTGCGTGTGTGTGTGTGCGCGCGCGAGCGCATATTGGGGAGCATGTGTATGTTGTGCCGCAGGCATATGCGGCATACATGCGTGCATGCCAGGGGGGATGCGTGCGCCCGGCCTCGGCGTGCCCCGGGCGGGGCCCCTCGCCCCTCTCGCTGCCTGCACCGCCAGGGCCCCCGGGGCGGGGGGACGCGCGTAAACATTGCTCATGCTACGGGTCTCTATTTGGGCCCGGCTGCGCCGGTGTCCTGGCCGGGCCCCGGTGGCCAGGCTCGGACCATGCTGAAGAGGAGTTGACCGGCCGGGGCCGGGGCGCCTCGAGTGGTGGCGGCCCGGGCAAATGCTTGGTGACGATGCCCCCGGGCCGCGAAGTGCCGGGCGCTGGCCGGGCCCGGCACAGGGGGCGGCCGGCGCATGTGTGTGTTTGCTGACAGAGAGGCGCGCGGGGGGGGCAAGCCGGGGCGCTGTGGCGGGGCCCGGTCCCTCTTTTTGCCTCGTGAGAAGTTCCCTTTCCCCCGCCCTCCGAGCTGGCCGCACACGCCACGGGCACCAAGGGCCTGGCGGGCTCGCGTGTGCCGGTTGTGTCCCGGTCCGGCGCCCGAGCACCGGTGGCTCCCCCCGATCCCCAATGTGAGGCCCGGGCGGGCGGGGGGGGGGGCACTTGGAGTGTTGGGCGCCCTCGGCCAGCCCAAGCACTCTTCACGGCCCGCTGGGGGTATCGCCGCGCACGGCCGAGCCTGCCCGCCCGGCCGGGCGAAGTGCCCGGTGGGCCCCGGCGCGGGCACTCCCCGATCGGCCGCGGGTGCATCCCCCCCTTTTCCGGCCGAGCGGGGGGGGGGCCAGCCGGACGGGCAGTGGAGCGGGAGCGAAAGGCAGGGCGGGGCGCCTCAGCCGCAGGGGGGGGCGGGCAGCCGGAAACAGGGCCCCCATTTCCCCCAGGGCCGCACCAGATTCACACGGCACGATCGTGCTGGACAGCCGGCACGGCCACGACGAGCACAGGGCCAACCCCGGCCGCGTATATACCCCGCCGTGGCCCGGTCTCCGGAGCCTGGCAAACAATCCACCAGCTCAGACGAAGTGTGCACTGGCGCAGATTGGGCAAAAACACCCACAGAGAAGCGGCAAAGGCTCGCCATATGCCGACACACATATGTGCCGGCCCCGGCCCTGCCCCCTCTCTCGCCCTCTCTCTCGCGTGTGCCCGCACGGAAACACATGCATCGCGGTTTCCAGGGCATTGTTTTTGGCCGTCCCTCGCGCCCCCCCCCCCTCGACACCGCCTGGTTCGGGCTGCAGCGAGCGGGGGGACTCGCAGGCAGGCAGGAGCCCCCGCTCGGCGCGGCCCCCGCCCGGGCAGCCGGCAGGGCCGTTCTCGGGGCATCCCCACGCTCGTGGCGCCGTGCCGTGCCGGCCGGGGATCCGGCCCCGATCGGCGCCATTCGCCCCGGGTGCCCCTCCCCCCGTGTCGGCGCATCAGCCCATGCCCCCGGCGCTCGGGGGCCGCCGTATTATGTGCCCTTTGCCCCCGCCCCCCCCCCCCGGGGGGGGGCCGGAGACTCGGGACGGTCCCGCCGGTTGAGACAAGCAACGGCGCCCGGGCCGATCCCCGCTGTTATTTCTTTCCTCTCGAGCATGCACGAATTGTTGCCCACCCCGGCTCCGCCCTGTTCCCCCCCCCCCCCCGCCGCCGCCCCTTGGCCCGGGTGTGCAATCTTTGCAACCTTTGCCCTGGCGCACCGGAAGGCCGGCCTGTGTTCCCGGTGCCGAACAGCCCCGTTGGTGCTGGCCGCTTCGGGGCCCGCCCTGACGCGGGTCCCCCCGTCCAGGGGACCCGATGGGCTAGGGCGCCGGAAAGGGCAGGGACAGGGCGTAGCCGGGGCGGGGGGGGGGGGGGGCCAGCGGGCGGCCCCCCCAACAGAAAGCAAGAATGGCCCGATGTCGGTCGTGCAGGCGCTCTCATATGTGCGCGCGCCAACGCACATGGCTCATCGGCCCCGGAGAAGCTGTCTCCCCCAAATCCGGGGCGCATTCCTTCACCCCTCAGGGCATGGCCCGGCTCCTGCGCAGGTATCTCTCCTGCCGCGAAGGGAGGCCTGGAGTCGGCGAGGGAGGGGGGGGGGGGGGGGGACATCGCGAGGCCGAAACCACCGGAGGCCCCACCGGCCGACGCTTGATCGTTCGGGATCGGCCCGCCCCGATGGGAAGCCGCTGGACGCGAGGCCGCCCGCCCGCCCGCCACCCGGCCATCACCCGCCTCCTCCTCCTCCTCCTCCTCCTCCTCCTCCTCCTCCTGTTCCTGGGCGGAGGCGCGCAGACCCGGCGCTCTTGAGCCGCCGGGGTCCGGATCGCCAGAAGGGCCGCAAGCCAGGCTCCCCGCCATTCTCACACTCTCCCCCCCTGCCGCCGCACAGCCCCTCCCCTCCTCTAGTCTCCCTCTTTCTTTGCCCCTCCCCCCCCCCACGCACGCACGCACGCACGCACGCACGCACGCACGCACGCACGCACGCATACGCACCGCACGTACACGCTCCACCCACCGCGCCCCGCCCCCTCGTTGACTGCGTCGCGGCTTGCGCGCCAACCACAGCAACAGCGAACGATGGCCTCCTTCGTTGTGGCCGCCCGTTGGTCTCTCCGCGCCAACGCCCCGGAGGAACTTTCCTTTGAAGAGGTACGCCCGCGGCCCCCGCCTTCCCGCCTTCCCGCCTCCCCGCC